AGCAGAAAAGTAAGATGATAAAAGCTAGTCACTGTCTGTGAAGGTGTAGCTACATCTTACTGTTACAAAACAACAGCTAACATCATCATTATCATCACAGTCGCCATATCGTTTATTACATGCCAACCTAAAAACATCTCCTAGTCATAGATAAACTCAACTCCATGGCTGTACTGACCCATCAGCATTGTATGTGGACTTACATAGACTTGTATGGAATTGTATTATTGAGGCTCATACAGTTCCATTGTATTAGGATTTATATGAGCCCCAAAAATGGCATTACCACAAAAGTAGTTGCCCTCATGAATAATTTACCAAATTATGAACCTTATTTGGCAGAAAAGTAAGATGATAACAAATGCAGTATTCCCTGTTTATGAAGAGGAGAATACATACATTCTATTATCATCACATCATCACACATCCTAGTCCTAGAAAAATGTACATTCCATAGTTTTATTGACCAATCAACATGATATAGTATCAGGGAACCGCCTCCAAATCAATGTGAGGAAGACTAAAGAGCTGGCGGTGGACTTCCACAGTCACAAACCCCCAACATCGGTGAACACCCAGGGCATGGACGTTGAGAGAGTGGACTCGTACAACTGGGTGTTCACCTGAACAATAAACTGGACTAGTCAGACCACACTAAGGCACTTTAGAAGAAGGCTCAGAGCAGCCTCTATCTGCTCAGGAGGTCTTTTGGGGTGCAGGCGGTGCTCCTGAGGTCTTTTTGTGACTCTGTGGTGGCATCAGCAATCTTCTATGGAGCAACATCTCAGCTACTGACAGGAGGAAACTTGAGCAGCTGATCAAGAAGGCCAGCTCTGTCCTGGGGAGCACTCTGGACCCAGTGCAGGTGGTGGGAGAAAGGACATTGACACTCACCCGATGCATGACACTCTGAGGACACTGGGCAGCTCCTTTAGTGACAGACTGCGTCACCCCAGGTGTGTGACGGAGCGATACCACAGGTCCTTCCTTCCTGCTGGTATCAGACTTTATAATCTGCACTGCTCTCAACAGACCACACACACACACACACACACACACATAATGACAGTTAGCCAACCGTCATGTGCAATAAACCCCAAGTGAAATTCATTCATGTAAATATTCTACCATTTGTGTTCTTAGTATCCTTGAGTTCTTCTGTTTTTCTGACTTATATTGTATATATCGTGTATATACCTCGCCTCTTTAATTTGTCGTCATGTTTGTAGTGTTCTTGCTCTTCTCACTGCAAATTTCCCCATGTGGGACTAATAAAGGATATTCTATTCTATTCTATTCTATTCTATTCTATTCTATTCTATTCCATATATCAACATTGTATATTACATTTTCCTCCACAGGATTTAACTATCAGGCGTAATCTTTACAGTCATTGCCAGTATTACCTCTTATTTTTTATTCTAGTCTTATTCTACCTTACTTTAATAAAATCATTTATGTATTGTACTTATATCATATTGTTGTTTTTTTATAATTAAGTACTGCTTTTATTCTCATGCTGGGTCTATTCTTGAACGCTATAGGATGAATCTATCAGTACATATCGTAATTGTGTGATCGCTCTGGTTAAAAGAGATTTATTAAAAAACCTGACTATTGCCTTTAGCTTTGGAGACAAAAACCTAAAGCCACGGCTGCCTACATTTCCCATGCATCCCCGCGGTTTAAATCCCCGCTCAGAGGGGCTTGTGGGACTTGAAGGCGGAAGCATTAAACTCTAACCCACCCTTCGTGTCGGCTTTACGTCATAAAAACTACATTTCCCAGACATGTGTGCTTGTTAAACGTTGACTGTTTGGCTCCTCCTTGACCGGAGTCAGATTGGCTTTCTGCTGCATATTGCAGACAGACACCGGGCTAATAAAATAATTATCGCACCGGCGAATATGAACTTTATGGTGAGTTTCTATCAAATCAGCCACAGATGGGGGACATTTCTAATGACCAATATGATCTGTTATCGCTAAAGCCGACACGTGTACTGAAATAGACTCAATTAATCTTAAAATCTCCTGGAGAGAGAAATCAGTCTGCCTCCTTAAATGAGACAAGTGGTGACCCTGTAGATGCAGCCATGATTAAAACTGTGTCCCTCCTTGAACACTGTCTGAGCTGCACTGATTTGTCCATTAACTGCTTCATGTTCCTGTTGAAGATGTGAGGAGGACTCCTTCATGTCATCCCTGTCTGGACTCAGCATGGCGCAGGAGGAGGAGGACAAACACAGCCTGGAGGCGAAATTTGCTGCCGCAGTTAAAGTGATCCGGAGTTTGCCTGAAGAAGGTGATGACTTACAGCAATCTGTTCCTGTCCATATGGAGAGAGGGAAGTGGTTTAACTTAGGTGTTCGGTTTTTGTGCCGTGCAGAGAGAAATCTGCGTTTATTGGTGTGTAAACACTGCAGGTGACTGACCTACATGTGGAGCATTTAAGAGCTGCCTCCCTTCATAAAGCTGCTGTACGGATAAGAGCTGATTAACAGAATCACTTGTTTCTCAGCTCTAATTACCGCTTCCTGTGGCTCACATCTATGGCAATGCACATTTAGAGTTTCTGTAGACATTTTTAAAAAAAAAAAATAAGATTATGATCATGCTGTGTATTTTTTTTTTCTTCATTTCTCAGGTCCTTTCCAGCCGTCTGATGACATGATGCTGATGTTCTATAGTTACTTTAAGCAGGCCACCATGGGTCCCTGCAACATCCCCAGACCCAGCGGCTTCTGGGACACCCGGGGAAAAGCTAAATGGTATGTATTTAAATCTGCAGCTACTTCTAAATGTAGAGCTCTTGGGCTGCAAGGTGGCTCAGTGGTTAGCACTGTCACCTCACAGCCACAAGATCCCCGGTTTGCATCCCAGTTGAGATCTTTCTGTGAGGAGTTTGCATGTTCTCCCCGTGCAGCGTGGGTTCTCTCCGGGTTCTCCGGCTTCCTCCCACAAGGTCCAAAAACAAGATGAGGTTAATTGGTGATTCTAAATTGTCTGTAGGTGTGAATGTGAGTGTGCTTGATTGTCTGTTTCTAAGTGTAGCCCTGTGTCAGACTGGTGACCCTTCACCCTGAGTCAGCTGTGGTAGGCGACCCTAGTGAGGATTAATAGATAATTAATAGATAACCAATGGATGGATGTGGAGCTCTTGCTGGTGGCAACATGGGACACATGCACAAAAAATATACACAGGAATCCATAAAAGTCATCCTACCAGACAGTGGTTAGGCCTCAACGTCAAAGGCTGTAGCCCAGGATCTACTTCATGTTTAGTTGTTTTGTTTTTTACAACACTAAGAATAATATAAACATATACATCTGGATCTGTTTGTCTCACATTGCAAGCCCTCAAAATATTATGACACAGCTAGTTCATCAGAATGCTATTTTACTGTTTGGAAATGAAGGATCTGTTAGCGAAAGTCAAAATATTTCAGAGAAACAGAGACGTTTCCATTTCAGTCTCGAAACAAGATACCTGACATCACTGAGTGTGTGGATGCTTCCAATACCTCCATATAAAACATGGCATCTATAACCTTTTAAGCAACCAAGTATGGAAACAGGAAGCCGTGTCACAGTGAAAACACATTTTATTGTTTCATCATAAGCTGCTGCTGTTGGATGAGTTATCATGACACTATAAACAGGATTTTCAGTATTTTTTGTCAGCTACAGAAACAGCAGATTTGCTCTGGTTATGATGAGATATTTCTTTAAAGTATTGTGTTATGGAACATTATGGGTGAGCTTTTTCACTCATCAAAATCTAATTTTCTGCTCCTGGACTATTTAAAAGTCCAGGCACCCAAATAACTATTGTATTTCCAAGGCACACCTTTCACATATAGCCATGTAAATCTCCCTGTGATGATAATGCAGAACATGGGCTGAGCACAGAAGGACCTTACGTTGCCTCAAGCACAGTATCTCACCATTTATATTCATTTTACTATGAAATAATCAGATGTATAGATGGTCTAAGCCCCGAATCATGGCCACTGTTCCACAGTGGTGCCCAATCCACAATGTATTTTAAAAAAAAACAAATCTTTTGTGAACAGTCCTGCAGTAGCACACAATCCAGTTTGGTGACATTTCTGCATCACCTCATAACTGCACAGCTTCAGTCATTCACTCTTCACTTCCTCCACCAGTGTTTGTTTTGAACTCGGGCTTTGTGTTGCCAGGGACGCGTGGAGCTCTCTGGGAAATATGACTAAAGAGGAAGCCATGAAGAATTATGTTGAAGACATCCAGCTGGTGAGTTCTTTCAGGAAACACTGAAGCTGAACAGAAGCTGCGTTCAGAATAATAACGAGTTTCTATTTTACTCTTAATATTCATGTTTTGATGCGGTAAGAAACACTGTACTTGTGACCCACAAACCGCCACATTCCCATGAGCCTCAGCTGTAGTTTGTTTTTATTGCTAATTAGGGGATGCTAGCATGCTAACAAGCTAAACTAAGACAGCTTGGTACATTATCCCTATAGTTATACAATATTAATAAACCCAATATTCAACTCTTCTTAACAGTGTTACAAAGTGCTATAAAAAAAACCAAAAACAAATATGGTAAATAAAATGACAAGCCTTGTCGCTGTGAGCATGTTAGCCTGTTGATGTTAGCATTTAGCGGTCAGCCTCACATAGCTGCAAAGCGTTAGACTTCTCTTGTTAATAGAAAATTGTTCACTTTATTGTAGACATTTGATTTTTTTTAAACAATGATAGGCCCTAGAAATTGTGTAAAATTACTTTTACAAATCTTTTTTCCCCACACATAACACCTAATGGACATTTAGGCCCTCTTGTTAGCAGCTAGTGTTAGCATTAGCTTAGCTGCCTTTGCAATATAACTTTTTTTGTTGGCTTATTGAGATGTTACCATCACTACTTTTTAAAATTAATCAGGTTAATTTGTATTAAATGTAATGTTGCACAGTCTTCACTGTATTATTTAAATTAGTCAGGCAGATTTTATTATTTAGGAACAATATTGTATGATCTTAACCCTTTAAAATTGTTGTTTGCAATGTCAATCTTCTTTCCTTCTGGAAAACAATTTGCCTTAACAGCTGTTTTGCTAAATAGTGGTGACTGGATTTGACTTTTATACGTAGATAAGTTCTATTATGGCCGTTTCAAGGTATTTGTATGCACATAATTATCACGTGTATGTTGTTTCTGGGTTGGATTATTTATGATATTATCCTGTGTGTGTTTTTTCAGATTTTGGAGACCATGCCCGTCTCAGAGGAAGTGTCCGACCTGGTACAGAGGCTTGGCAACTTCTACACAGAGGTAGAAGAAGAAGGCGAGGAGGCTGAAGAAAATGAAGTGGACAAGAGACCCTTCATCAGGCCTTTTGCCAAACACGCAGGTAAATGCACGTGGTTAGGGACGCCACATTACTGTAGCTCCACACTCGAAGGCACATCAAAGGAAACCGGAATACAGGGCACTGCTGCTCAAGTGGGATCAAGTACATTCTCTATTCGTCACACAGATTCCTTTTCTTTTCTTTTTTTCCAAACCCTGTCTCACATGTCTCTTTATCACTAGATGAGCTGGTTGAACCGTTTCAGAGACCAACAATGGAAGGCAAGTCTTTGGTGTTTGTAGTAGCTGTAGCGCTGATAGATTGGTAGCACGGCGGCTTAATTAAGTTGCTTTCATTGCTGTTTCATTTGACTGACAAGAATGATAAGTGTACAATGCCACTGACTTGTAGGAAATTAGGTTAGACTTTGTTGTGCAGTCCGTCATGTGCAGTGTGTGCTGTAGTTAATCGTGTTGGTTTGTTGGTCTGTGCTGTTACGGGGTGTAGAATCGATGCAACAAAAAGCTACGTCAAGTGTGCTTTGCTTCGTGTAGATTTCCACTGTCTAACATGTGCAGTTCCTGAGATAATCCTGAGTGTTTCCCTCACTGTTCAGGCTATGGGGATCTGTGGGATGATATACAAAACCTCGAGGAGAAAGACAGCAGTGTTCATGGCTTTAGTGTCAGTAGCGAGGAGGCAGAGAGGAGCAGAGACCATAGTGAAATCGAGGTAAAGGAGGAATATAGTGATTGGAGGAGAAGTGAGGAAGAGGAGAATGGAGATGAAGAAGACAATACAGACGATGACGACAAGGAGGAGGAAAGAGGTACCGTGTAGCTTAGCCGTGTTGTGCTGTGACATTTGCTGTGTTGTTGTAGAGGAGACTACCAACTGTAACTTCCTTTTTGTTTTACATCAGAGGACTTAGCTGGAAACATTGTCGATTAAAGTGTCGCCAGAGCAGCGTGGTGTTGCACCATGTGCTTATGTAAGATGGCACTATTACTGTATGCACTTCCTCTTACTTCTGCACACTCTTTGTAAGGAGTTTAAAAGGGAAGGAGAGCAGCTATTTGTGGTCTTAACCTTCCTATAAACTCATATTTTCAAGTAGTGGACAAATGACTGAAGACCAGGCAGCTTACATTTGTTTTGCTTCTATGCAGGACACACACAGCTTCTATTTAAAGTGACTAAATGTGATATGTCTTCTGTCAACTCGTTCAAAAGCTCCTAACTCAAAAATGAGAATAGAGATAAAGCCGAAGTAATTTGCACATCCAGGCTGCGATATGGATAGACAAAGGGCACAGAAGAAAAGAACTTGCTCGTCTCATAATGCTTTTTTTTTTCCTGCTCTCTTGCCGTGTCTCTCTTTTGTATCATCCCAGATTGGAGTCCTGACCCGAGGCTATTAATGGTGGAGGACAAGAGATGGAGGTCTGACACTAAGGGCTCCTGCAGCAGCGTGGAGCCCAGCGTGTCCTCCTTCACCAACGGGACTCACAGCTCCCTCAACAGCGAGGTGGAGGAGGAGGAACTGGCCTGTTCCGTAGAGGCCAGTGTGCAGTACAACCCATACATGCAGTTTAATGGGCACTTGAGAGGTAAGATTATACATGATTGCACAAAGTATGTATATGGTGGTGAGCTGTGTATGTAACAGCAGAATCATCTTTGAGGGCTTTGTTATGTAAGAATTATGTGAAACATCCATTATACCTATGGGGAAATTAGATTTTTTTGCATGAAAAGTGCACACATGGTTAAATGAGGGGGGAAAAGTGCAACAAGAATGTAAATAAGCAGTAAATAGAGGGTGACTGTTAATGTCCAATCTAGTGCTGTATAGTCCTTAAGATGATGCATATGTGTACTTCTTAACAATGTGGGCTGTAGACACAACTGATGGTGGGTTTTATTGCTGATGTGTTGCGTTTTGAACCTTTCAGATCATATTAATACCGTTCCCGAGAAGAACCATCGATCCACAGACTCTGATAATGAGGAATTCTGCGACTCAATGGAGCATCTCGCCATGGAAGAGGTGTGTTCCTCCTCC